GGGGGGAGAGAATGACCTTATGCTTTCCTCCCTCCTTCCTTTCTTACTTCCTTCCTTCCTTCCTATTCCTCCCTCCCTCCCTCCCTCATTAGTTCGTTTCTATGTTTCTTTGTTTTCTTTGTTTTTCTTTTATTCGTTTTCAATTTATGGAATTTAACATTTATGTAGTGTTAAATTCCCCGCCCTGTCTAGGGTACACAGGAAAATATTTGCTGTTAAAATTGTTGAGCTACACATTAATTCTCCCGTATCTCCGTGCTTTCACGCTGTTAAATGCATTTTAAACCCCCGGTCTCGTCACATTAATTCCCCGCCCTGCCCCGGGGTCGGGGTCGGGGGTTTCAGTTGACTAGTGTATTACTCCGGCAGCTCAGCTGAGCAGCACGTCGAACCGAAATTTTAACCAAAATTTTCGTCCAGGAACGTTGTTCTAATTGGGCATGTACATCTTATCATTTGGGATTTTGCAGAATGCCGACAAACGTGCATGAAACTGCTTTATAATTTGATTTTAAAACATATTATCTTTAATGGCTTTTGCATGTCCATGTTCCTTAGTTAAACTGCATTGATTTCATGCGATGTGAACCGTACCCGAACATTTTGAGATTTCTCAAAAGGAAAGTTTTTAAAGCTGAAACTATTTTATTGAGGGGGAGCAGGTAAAATCTTACAGTAGGTTTTCAATTGTGTCAGTTTTACTGGCTTAATCCGACTGTTATTAGAATCTACCCGAAACGAATGTTGTAACTGCTAAAATAATGTAAACTGCTAATAAAAGTTTTTTTTAAAGGAAACGCATTTTCGGGTTTAAATTCCGGATGAAAATAGAAACGAATGAGAAAATAGCGACCAGAAACAACACACACTTGTCAAGTACATAAGGTTTATGGGGATGAAAGGAAAGTGGTTAGGAAGGGCAACGTTCTCAGCACCACAAAACCACATAGTCTAAAAGAAATCAGATGCGTTCGAATGATAACAAGCTCTGTACTCAAATAAATATCTGTTCGTTGGAACATCGTTCATTTTTTAAGCTTTGGCCAACGGAAGATTACAAATTTTAGTATTCCCAACCATTCAGTTTTCTAAATGTGTTCGATATTTCGTAAAACTATTTACCTCGGTGGCGAGCGTCGAGTAAAAGCGAAACACGAAAACGACACGACCTCACTAACGAAAGTAGTCAGCTCCGTCTTTTCCTGTGGTTTGATTAAGATTTCGCTTTGTCTGTTTACTAGCATAGACTATTCATATTTAGACAAGTTTTATTGTGAGAAATAAAATATAAACTATTCATGTATGGGTAGGGTTGGGAAACTATACTAAATGTTCCTCTATATTTGGCGCGCACACGCTTAAAGGCTTGAATACGTTTGACCTTATTAGTTCAAATTTTAGTAAAATATAAAAAGCACCAAAATTGTTAAATAAATAAATAAATAAAAATAAAATACGAATTTCATAGAGAAATTATTTGTTATTATCGAAAAAAAAATTTTTTTGTCAAAGTTTCAAATATTTTTGTGTGAATCAAAAGTCACTCGCCCCCCTCCCCCCTGACAAAACTAGACTCGAGAGCGTAACAAGTAGCACTAAAACGAGCTGTGCTGTCAAGCACAATCAAATATCCTTACTATTCATACCTGATCCCAGTGTCAGACTGTAGTCATTGTTGGCTTACCTTCTGCCGTGGCTGCAGCGTTCACTAGATTTCCCTACGAACCTTATCTTGGATGAGGACCTGACTGATCGATGGCGCACCTTATACTTTTACTGTGTGCTGTGTTCTTGTTGGTTAAGGGTGAGTCTAAAAATAGAGCAAACATTTTTCTATCAATTAATTAATATTATTGAGTAATTTTTCTTAATTGTTCAATCTAATAAGTTAATTTTATTATCTGATAAGGTCATTTCACGCGCTACGTTTGGTGAATGATTACATAATAATAAACTCACAGTACGAGCTGAACAATCCGATCGAGAGAAGCAATTGTAATTTCGTACAAATTGAAATAGAAAGTACAAAAGGACGTCTTGAATACTATTTTTTAGTTGTACAAGGAGAATTTGACAGTTCCATCAAGTTAAGGACGTTCGCAGGCAAATTTTCCAAACTTCGCATAGTCAAATAATAAAGGTCTTGATAAAAGTTGAAAGAGCAAATAAAAAATGAGGGTTACAGAATTCACTGAGGAGTGAGATAATATAAAAATGCAGCTACAGCTTTTTTTCCATAAGTCCATAAGTCGAGCATTAAAGAATCCTAGTCAACCACAATRCACTGCGCGACTATGTTATTGTTTACATTGTTTGTCTACATCGCTAGCTCTCGAAGTACTTCCAAGCTCTTTAATATGGAGCAAAAATTTTGCATCATTGCAAAAGTGCTCAAACGTTTACCAAAGATTTCTTACTTTCATTCCATAGCAAATAGTTAGCTGTATTTTTCAGAGATCCTAATTGTAACGTTATGACTTTTCGGTCGTTCATCTGGAAGCCATCGCAATATTTGAAATCGAACGGAAAGTAGAATGTGGCCGTAAATAATGTGGTCGTATAAATCATTCAGCAGGAATAACAAGACCGATAAAACTGCATTCTAAAACWTAACCTTCAAATTAAAAACGCCATTTACCTGGTACAAAAAATGGCGCATTGCATACCATTATTTATGGTTGCATATTAACAACTTGCAAATTTTGGCTCAAATTTGCCGCCACCATGAAACATTCGGTGAGTCTTTGAATTGAGTGCAACGTAGATTTGAAATTTTTATCCAAATACGTGTTTTCATTATGAGTTTATCATCATTTTTTTTCTCCCAAATTTGCTATMTTGACAACTTATCTAATTCTTTAAAAATTATTGAAATAGAAGATGGGGCCAACGATTTTGTTCAACCAACCTTGACTTGCAAGTTCGTAATGGTGTAATGCTTTGCCATTACGTTATTTCTTTATAACGTTTTCGTATGAGAATACTGTACACATAAATATGGGACGGTACAGTCAAGTAAAGAATCTTATTCTCAAACGAATTAATTACATGATTTAAAATAAGCAAACATTAATCCCAATCAAAAAGTGTCTATTAATACTGTATGGCGTAATGTAGACGATAGTCAAAGTCGGTAGAACGTAACGTACTTCAAGATAAAGTTACAAAAAAATAYATGATTTAAATTCCACTTAAAAATGAAAACAGAAGGATTCTTAAGCTAGATCGTTTCTGTGGACTGTTACAGAAGCAAAGCCCAAGGTAGCTGTTCGTCTAGTGGATGGAAAAAGTCCTAACGAGGGACGTGTTGAAGTAAGATACAAAGGTACTTGGGGTACAATATGCAATAGTTACTGGGACATAAAGGATGCTTACGTGGTGTGTCACATGTTGAATTACTCCAAGGCAGTAACAGCAACGACTGCTAGCGTCAAAGGGACTGGTCCTATATGGCTTAAAGGGCTTGGTTGCTGGGGATCCCAAGAATCTATTGATCAGTGTCCTCATGCTGGCTGGGGTAACACTGGTGGATGTGATCACAGTCGTGATGCTGGAGTGGTATGTGGCAATGCAATAAACGTCAATGTTCCTCTAGTGGATGGTAAGACTACTAACGAGGGACGTGTAGAAGTAAGATACAAAGGTACTTGGGGAACCATATGCAATAGTTACTGGGACATATTGGATGCTTACGTGGTGTGTCACATGTTGAAYTACTCCAAGGCAGTTACAGCAACGACTTCTAGCGTCAAAGGAACTGGTCCTAGGTACGGTACGTGCAGATTGGTTTGCTCATTACTCATTACTCAGTCTTGCAGAACGTCCTCTAAGTTTGGTAAGGCTTTCACTAGCTCAGAACTTAGCTCTGAAACGGTCTCTAACACTGGAAAATTGGGTAAACTTCTTACAACGTAGCTAGACTTCTTCTTGGAGTCCAAAACCCGAACTTCTAAAGTCGAAAGAACTTGTTTTGAATTACCCGCCGTCGACATTTTCTGCCANAAGACTCCTAACGAGGGACGTGTTGAAGTAAGATACAAAGGTACTTGGGGTACAATATGCAATAGTTACTGGGACATAAAGGATGCTTACGTGGTGTGTCAAATGTTGAATTACTCCAAGGCAGTTACAGCAACGACTGCTAGCGTCAAGGGGACTGGTCCTATATGGCTTAAAGCGCTTCTTTGTTCCGGATCCCAAGAATCTATTGATCAGTGTGGTCATGATGGCTGGGGTAACACTGGTGGATGTGATCACAGTCGTGATGCTGGAGTGGTATGTAGCAATGCAATAACCGTCAATGTTCGTCTAGTGGATGGTAAGACTCCTAATGAGGGACGTGTAGAAGTAAGATACAAAGGTACTTGGGGTACCATATGCAATAAAGAATGGAACATATGGGATGCTTACGTGGTGTGTCACAAGTTGAACTACTCCAAGGCAGTTACAGCAATTACTTCTAGCGTCAAAGGAACTGGTCCTATATGGCTTAAAGGGCTTCGTTGCCTGGGATTCGAAGAAACTGTTGACCAGTGTCGTCTTGGTGGCTGGGGTAACACTGGTGGATGCGATCACAGCCGTGATGCTGGAGTGGTATGTGGCAATCTAACACCAGGTACAACTAGATAAGTTACGCAACAAATCCTTCATACGATCTTTGTTTATCTATTCATGTTTTTCTATCATGCCAAGAAACAATATTCTAAAATCATCATCTGAAAATTATTGCATTAGTTCGTTGCTATTTTCATCAAATATTCAAGTTACTTTTTCTGACCACGTTGATTAGAATACCTATCAATATATATTGTTATCTTTACTTTCTGAATATTAAATCAAGCAATGTAAGGATTGTGACTAATGTTGTTTGTTTATTGAACAATATTTGTTTCAGAGGAGAAAGCGATCAAAGTTCGTCTGGTGGGAGATCAAAACCATACTGGTAAAGTAGAAATCCAGTATCAAGGGACCTGGGGAGTAGTGTGTGATCCTTGGAAGTATGGGTGGTGGGATATACGAGATGCTCACGTGATCTGCCGAATGCTTGGATACAAAGCACCTGAACACGCAATTCGCTTCATTGAATGAGGAACACCAAGAAGAGGGCTCATGTATGATGTGGGATGCAGAGGTAGAGAAAAGTCGATAGCAGAGTGTGCTCACTCAGGATGGTGGAAGGTCCCTTCATGGTGCTCGAATAAACTTCTTGTTGGTGTGGTTTGTAAGACAAATGAAGGTAAAAAAGACAAATCTCTACTTTACTCTAATCCTTCAAATATCATCACATCAAAGCCAATAATCTAAATAGTTCATTTCTTGATCAGACAATAGCTTTAGTAAAGCTCTATTCATTCTCTTTCAAGCCCTTGTCCAAGTGTCAGTTGTACAATGACCTCAATGATGTTGGTGCAAATCCACAGATCCTCCACCAGTTCAAGTTCGTTTAGCTGGAGGAAGGTCAGACAATTCTGGTCGACTTGAAATCAGGTACCATGGTCAGTGGG